TAGTGCACACCAAGCTGGACATCCTTGGTGGGCTCAGTCACCTATTACATGCGCTTGGCAGAAACCAGGTAAAATAGTGCACATCAAACTGGACATGGCATCATCGTTATAAAAAAAATAGTTATCTTTTGTCCATTATTGATGGAAAAAAGAGCAAAAGAAATCACTAGCTAATGATGGTGTCCTACCAGCTTGGTGTGTGCACTGCGGCTATTTCTTTGGGTACTTGTCAAGCGCAAGTGACCTTAATACTTTTGTTGTTAAGTATTTCTATATTTGCTGAAGAAATAGGTTATTGTTGTCTTATAAGGTCTAATCACCTCACGAGCTAAGTTCTAGAATGAATTAACCTTAAGGTCCATTTTCTTGGTGAGGCATCAGAGTTAGACTCATCCCTATTCTTTGGTACTCAATACAGGCTACCATGTTATGTTGTCTACTCTTCAAATGTCCAATCCCTGACATACAGGGGAGGACAGGAGGAGAGGGGAGGATGTTAAGTGCCTCACATTGGTTGAAGAAATGGGTTTGTGGTCTCCTTATATATCTCTGGGTAATCTCACCACATAAGCTAGCATTTGGAGTGAGTGAGGCCCAATGTCCATTTTCTAAATGGTGCACATGCATCTAAATGTAATACACGGATACTTGGTAGGAAAAAACAACATCATCATGAGAATTCACCTGGTAGAAACTGTAGGAACTGATCTCTTCTCTGTCAGTAATGCCACTTGTGTCTTTCTGTAGGCTCTTGTCATTGCCATATAAGGACAATGAAGATCCAACACGCTCTTCTATTGATTCAACATCTGAAGCTTGAATAAGATGAGAGTCCCTCACTACCTTATTGAGAGTTGACTTCTCCTGCAATATTGGTTTATCAGCTGGATTACTGTATGGCATTACATGAGTAGATTGTCCAGCAGAATGGACCTGAACACTTTCTAGTCGCTGAGAACTATAAGAGCACTTCTCCAAACGATTATCTTCGTCAGATTTGCTATTTTGAACAGCAATATGTTGCCTATTCCAGTACGTCTTCCTCTGCTCCAATAGTTCCCTTGCAGCACAGACAAAGGGAAGTTTCTCCAAGTCATCAACTAAGCCTGAATCAGCTCTAGCTAACCAACTATCAAGATCAGACATTGCCTCTCGAACAGAAAGGTCGACATCGGACGTAAATATGAATTTAGAGAATAACTTTTGAACCTCCTCTCTACCAACAATGCCATCATTATTTTTCAAAGATAAAGTAAATGAATCCTTGTGACGGGTTAAGAGTAAAAATTCAATTACATCACTGACACGATGTTGTTTAACGTTCTCAATTTGAATGGTGTACAAATCCTGTGAAGATATCATCATAAAACACAAAGGGCATTTCTTCTTGAAATTATTTTTATGGTCATCTTCTTCGGAGATCATAAAATATTGCATAACACAGGGAAAACAGAAGATATGACCACACGAAGTTATCTGAGGACAAAGAGGATCCTCTAAGCATATGGGGCATTGCACATGAAATGGAGTGGAATATCTCACACAAACAATATCCTCCCACTGTAACATTTTGTCTGGATCCATCGAGTCAGGCGTGTAATTGCCTGAATCCAACAGAACAAACTTGTAATTTGCTTGAAGAAACAAGTCTTTGTTGTAAGGCTTCCTCTTGACGTATCTCCTAGGAGGAGGCAACCTAGATTGTGGACGAGAAATGGGATCATACTGAAAATTGAGCAAGTGGTTTCCACTAACCATCTGGGTTCTTCTTGAAGCTGAGCGGGTAACAACTCCTTGGGGACTGTTAAAGCCAAACTGGTCTCTTCCGCTGGAAGGATCATTGGTCCTAGCTGGTTTTCCTTGTCCGTGCAGTGAGATTATATCACTGTTATGATGTCGTGAACTTTCTCGACTGCTACCGGAGTTGTTCACCTGCAATATATTGTGAAGAGCAGAGCTGCATTAGTAAATTGGTTTATTAAGAGAAGAGAAGTTACAACACAAAATTTACCTTTTTGGAGGATCCACCAGAAGTAGATGCAGCGGTAGCCATGTTTCCTGACAAAGAAAAAAAAAGCATGAGACGGAAAGAAAAGGAACTAAAATAAATAAGGCGAGACAAAATGACATCGTTGAATTAGGGTATACGGGACGGAAACCTGAGAAGTTGTCGGGTTGCTGCTGCTGCTGTTGTTTGGATTTGGATCCATGATTAGAGTTAGGGTTTGGAGAAGAAGAAGAAGAGGAGGAGGAGGTTGTATGATTGTCGCTATGGGAGGGCAAGATGGACATGAAATTCCTCCTGGGAGATTAGATTAGACAAAGGGGGTTGGTTGGGTTGATCTTTTCGGGTTTTAGCCTCCACTCACCAAAATATATGCCCGCCTTCTTTTATTTAGTACTTCCGATACTTTTCTTTTTTTTACTTTTTTCCTTATTTCCTTCTTTATAAAATATTTTAACTTTAAGTTTTCGGGTGTCATGTTGACCACAAAATTAAAAGATACTTTGATTCATTTGATAATTTTAATTTAGTAATATGAGATTAAAAAGTTTTCTCTCTTTCTTAAACTTTGTTCCCAATCAAACTAGGTCATCATTTTTTAAATAGAGGGAGTATAAGAAAAATGGTCAAAAATATTATTAAACTATGTGAAAGAAATAAAAATGTTCTACGTTTATAATTTATTTCAAAAATATCCTTATTCTCAATATTTTAGCTGGAAAATGTCTTTATCCTTAATACTTTGACTCAAAATACTCTATATTGTGTCTCTCTGTAATTTCAGGCATACGTAGGTTACTTATGCATTTTCTCAAAAGTACTTCATTTCATTAAGTTTCTACCTTATCTTTGTGGAATTGTAGTGTTTTTCTTTTTTAGATCGCATATATCATATAGTTGTTTTCTAATGAAAGTATCTAGTATCTTATAGAAGTTGTATTATGATATTAAATATTTTAATTTATTGATAATAAAAATTAATAGATGAATAAAATATAAAATATTATTAATAAAATTATTAATTTGATTTAAGATCATTTTATAAACCATCATTATTTTCTTGTCCATTTTTATATAGTTAGTGGGGAGGGTATTTTTGACATAAAGAAAACAATTTCCCCAACAATACATAGCCAATGAGAACGAAAAGTGAAATATATGTTCACATCATATTAACTCTTGTGTTCCATTTGATTTAAATCTCTTGTCACCAACACTTTACTTTGTCCATTAAATTTTTACATATGTATCTATTAAAAATAATTGTTATCATGGCTATGATATCACATTATAAGTAAAACTGAAATCAATTTTTGAATATTGATTTTAACACCAAAACTAATAGTTCAATGGACAACGTTTATTTTAGAAAAATTAGGAAGAAACTTTTTGTTTGAGGGAAAAGAATATTAAAAAAAAATATATATATATTTTACCCAAATCATATGCCTTTTTTTATATTTGTTAATATTATTGTCTCTGCCACAATTTTTCGTCACTATTAGTTAACTCATAAATGGTAAGAAAAAATACAAGTATTAATTGATGAATGACTAGCTACATTTTTTTCACAAATTTTTTCTTATGAGGTACCTCAAATTTCATTGAATTTCGAATATGACCAATTTTTGCAAATAACACTCGAGAATTTTTAAGAAAAAAAAGAAGAGTAGAAAACATAAAGAAAATTGTAGCTTAAAATTGTGAGGAAACCCCTCTTTTTTTTTGTTGGCTACCAAATAGAAGTATGAATGAGTGTTAATTGTGCCTTATTCAAAAAATCACAAGATTTCAAAAAAGTCACAATTCTTTGAAAAACGCACAACTCATCAGAAAAGGTATAACACTATAGAAAAGTCACAACCTATAGAAAAAATCACAACCCTTCGAAAAAGTCGCAACCTTTTAGAAAAGCTACAACTCATTGAAAACGTCACAATTCTTTAATTTGAAAAGGTATCTACTTTCAATATAATAAAATTAATTAAATTAATAATAAATTGAATATTGTCAATTGAGGATATTATAGTAATTCAATATTCAAATTTGAAAATTTATGCTTTTAAGATAGTATAGAAGATATAAATATAGATAGATAAAATTATTTGAAAATTTCTAATTGGAATATTATACTATTTCAACATTTCATACTTTTAAGTTAGTATAGATAATAAGCAAATTAAGTAGAGGGAGTCATTAAGATTAAGTATATGAACAATGCTCTCATGTTTCACGGCATATCACAAAGACATCTAATTGTTGTATGTATGGTCAACAATCGATTAAAATAAAAAGTACAATACGTAAATATGATCTTTAACTTAACGTCAATTTATAACTATGACCCTTAATTTCAGCATTGCACAAATAGACACTTCAACTTGTATAAAATTGAACAAATAGACACATGTGTCATACATTACATGATAAATGTCAAACACTACGTAGGACACAAAATTTTCATATAAAATGTCATATAGAATGAATGTGTCAAATTGTTTAATTTTATATAAGTTTAATTAAGTATTGATGCATATCTAAAGTTAAAAATCACAGTTGTCAACCACATACATTATTACTAATTTTAGTTTCACCCCCAATTATTTTACTACTTATTAGAATAATAATAATTACTATTAACGTTGACAAGGAGAGAACCACGATGACAGCTTTACAGTAAGCGTGGGAGATTTCTACGTGGACTTTCAGTCTCATGAAGAACCTATCCATCATCACAGACCAATTTTCAGACCTACACCACGCAGGGCGTTAACCAACAACTCCTAAATAGGTTAATTACAACTAATTCAAAACGGAACACTAATAAACAGTTGACTATCGTTGTGACAACTAGTCTTAACACAGTAGCTTAAGGAACATCCAAATTAAACTCATTTTACTAGCCTCACTTTTAATTATGAATAACTATCAACGCAATGGTCATGTGCAACAAAGCACAAGATTAGGAATAACTATTTCATCGCTTCTCTTCAGATTAGGTGATGAATGTGAAATCAAATTAACAAGTTCGTTTCTCATTGGAAAATACAATATATAACACTTGACCAAATTTCCCAACGTTAGTATCCACTACACACAAGTGCAGAAGATGAGAAATCAGCATATGGAAACCCAAAAAATATGTAATTGTGAGCTAAAGACAACACATATCCCATTAAAACAAGCGTTTACGACAGTCAGCAGCACCACAGTAGCAAGCCATTTGTTTAACTTTCCCCTCACGATCCATAACACTATCCAGAACATAGCCATAATCATATGTGAGTTCCTACAGGTAAACCATAAACAAATCAATGAACAATTTAATAGTATAAAGGCTGCTTCATACTGCTTTTCATTCTATAGTACTGTGCTCAACAAGGAGATAAAAGTCCAGCCTACAGGTATTCAGGGTCAGGCAAAATCTGAATCATACAATCAAACGTGACTACAGCCCAAATACTTAGCAACAAGTACACAACACCTCAAAAGAAAAAAGAAAAAAAAAGAAAAAAACAGTACACCGTAATAAGCAATTTTACTAGCTCGCTGATTGGTCAAAAGTCAAAACAGCTTGCTATAAAGCTACAGCTCTTAGAGAGGAGTTAACTAGTTTTGAAGACAGATTCCAGTCAAAGAGAACAGTGAGACAATTTTATAATCTTGATGCACAAACTGGTTGGAAATTGATTGTTCACATTATTCAACTTCAAGATATAGGGCAAACTGATGACATAAATTTTGAAGGGCTTTTGGCAGCATCAGTATAACCTTTAGAAAAGCTACAGAACATGTTCTCACTGTTCTCTACAAAGAATCTCTCATATAACCCTTTAGTATCTTTTACATTTCCCGTGATTCTTGAACACAATCTTCTTATCGTAGCCCCACTTTCCATAACGGACCCTAAGTTAATCACTGTTATCCAATTAGAAACAAATTTTATCAAGTTCATTGAACACACAAGGAGTAAGATTTAGCAGAAACCTGCAGAGGAGGTATGTTGTCAGCTGCCATTAGCACCACTCTTGCCAAACCAATGTCATGATGGGTGCTTAACACACATTGAACAAATAAATTAGGTTGACAACTATGATTAATAAACCTTGCAACATTGCCAACAGAGACTGCATCAATGCAATATTCTGGCCCTCCGTCTGACATCTTCTCAGAATCATTGTGCCAATATCCCGGCAAAGAAACCTCACGCAACCGTCTCTGCAGAAGAACATAAGAAAATGAAGTGAATAAGAAAACAAACCAAACAAAAGGACGAAAGCCAAATGGGAGACTAGTGCTATTTTCGTGATGCCTGATCTCAGGGAAAACTGCAACAGCCAAAAATATCAGATAGAGTGAAAACTAGATGATTTCTACACGTCTAAACAAGTCCAGGGAATATAGTAGTTTTGGAAACACACCCTTCGGCTAGTCCTAGAAGAAATGTAAATGACATAACAGAAATATCTGAACTCTTGCCTCCCTCCCATCGAGCCCTTTCATTGTTTGCAAGCAATCAATGTCAAAAACATAGTTGTTATCTGCTGCAGGATCAATCTGATCTGTCTTCTTCAAAAGACCAGTGTATTCACAAATGGTTGCACCAGAAGGAATATAATCCCATGATCTCACACCCCATCCCTTGTTTGGAGTACGAAAAACCTGCTCCAATGGATAAAGAAACAGTCATGGAAATGAATACACAGCACTCTTCTGTATAGAAAAATCTGAAATCTGGTTAATAGACAAGTAAAATAACCTCAAGCCGATATCTTAATCCTTTCTGAGAAGTACGGTTGACACAGGCAGGTCCGCATCCACAATTCGGACCACATTCAAAGACTACAGCCTTTGGCTCAATAAGTCTACAAAGAAAAATATACTGAAAATAAAAGGCATGTTGAAAGAATTCCACTGCAAGGCAACTGCAAACGGAATATTGATAAGCTCTCAGCTTTGCTGTAAAGTACCAGACAAAGCTCAAAGCACTTGTCACATGTTGAAAGAATTCCACTGCACTGCATTATGATATCTCAGATAACTACACTGAACTAACGAGCAAGAAAGTGGCTTGTAGTTATAACTTATAAGACAAATCAAACAGGTATCCGATAAGGGAAAGACATATAGAAGGCAACTTGAAATAGTCTTTGTTCTATTAATCAGAAATATTTAGTAGCAGGGAGCCAGGGACAATAAAGTATATTTATAATAAGCCAGGACCTTAGAAAGTTCTTGGTTCTAGAGACCAGAAATAATAGACCAGAAATAATCTATTAACTCAAAAGTAAAAGGAAATACTTGTTGTTTAGTGACACGGCTCTCAAGTATAACACCCATTGGCAATGATACACGTGCCTTAGAATCTTGGTAACTGCACTACCTGCTATGAGAAACTTCCGCAAAGCGGTAAACATGTTTTGCACCTAGCTTCAGGGTTTATAGAAACATAATAATGATCCGTATAACCTAAAACCCACAAAAAAAAGCACCATGAGAGAACAGTGAGGTTATAAAAAAATTCTTGGTACTCTACTGCCTACAATGAATACCCTGATAAAACCACCTTCCTCATTTTTCTCAGTTAGTCAAGTGAGGACTTCCAACACAAATGGGAAATCTAGCTAAATCCCCTAGAAATCCCAAGAGAGCTGAAAATATTTATTCTTATTAAAATTAAGGACAGACAAAAAGCAGAAAAGGAGCACTATATATGTGAAAAGGGTGATCAAAATGCAAATATCATAAAGAATTAAACACGTAGCATCAAGGCCTAGACAATCATGCCTTACAGTAGGTAATTTGTGCAAGTAAACATGTCAGATTAGAAACACAAGTGGATGTTAGACACCGAGGTAAATGAAATTCATCTATAATTTAAGCTAACATACTCTGACAAAGGATTGAAATACTACACTCACCTTCCACCATCTTTATGAACATAGGGAAATTCAGAACCATTGAGTTTAGCGCAAGAACAAACTCTTGGATCTAGACATGAACCATGACAGTTGCATCCTGTGGGAGCTGAAGGGAACTTTATACCTTTGGCACATACGATATCCCTGCTATAAGTAAAACCTGAATGTTGTGCAAAGTTTTAGCATCAAAAAGATAGGCACAAATGAATATGAGCTATACTTCACATTGGCAAGATGTTAACAGGCACAAACTTATTGGTATATCCACTAACCCTCCAACTTCCATTAGAAATCGTGTGTTAAACATTCATATGACACTTAGAATCAGAGAAAGCTAAATATCAGAACACAAAACATGTCAAACGAGTTACTGCAGATATTGTAAAGCTCAAGGATTCCAGCAGTAGGTAAGATGAAGATAGAACAATGCATTATTATACCACACAGTCGTGTATGAAAAAAGTGCAACAGGGATCCTTCATCAAGTATCAAAAACCAATCTGCTATTATCACAATTCAACACTAAAAAATATTTAGAACCTTAATTATAAAATAATAACAATACATCTATCCCAAGCTAATTGCTGTCAGCTATATAAATCCTCAACATATCTATTCCGTGAAATATAATTCATGATACCTAATATCTATGATTACATACAAATCCCTAACTATAATACAGATAAACCTGCCCTATTTATAATTTTTTAAGTTCTTTACATTCCCATTCAAGTGGGAGTGCACAAAATGCATGCTATAATTTGCCACAGATATAGTCAATTTAAAGCCACAATATGATTTGTAACAATGCCCCTATTAATTGTCCGTTTGAGTTCAAGAAACACATCACAAGGCACCCAGATTCAATCTTTTGTCGAATAAAATGACAGTCAACTTCTTATCCTTTTGTTCTTTCTGGCACCACTCGATTTGAAGTAATGTGTATTACCCCTTCATTGTCAAATTTAAATTTCATCACTAATAGAATGAGGAGTTTGATCTTTTGAATCTGGTGAAGGCTGAACTCTAGTTCCATAAATTTGAACCACCATTTTCTTTTAGAAAAAAAGAAATTGTTGTTACTTTTTGAGTGAGGATGAGAAGAAAGATCATGGGAATAGTCTAAAGAGTCCACCCATCTCATTACTCATTATTGAAGGACTTTTGTCATTCTTCAACTCCCCACATCACGTCCAGTGCTTAGCATTTGGTGTGTGAGCAGTTTAATTTAAGGGGCTCAAAGGGAGGACAATTGTCCAAGTCATAAGGAATCTACCTATCTCATTAACCATCAATGACAAACTTTTGTCATTCTTCAACAAGAATCAAACACATTTTCGGAGCACGACGAGAAACTTCTCGGTAGTAATCCAAACACTTGGCTCTAATGAAAATTCAAAAACAAATGTCACATAGAAAGTATCAAAGCTGGTCTCCAAAGAGATAGTGGCATCTTTAAAATACCAGAGAGATGAGCAAACCAACTTCCAGAGAGGAGATGTGTTAGAAACTAAAAAGAAAAATAACTCGTAAAAGTTTTTTCCTGCGTCAGTCACACATAATTATAGGGATTCTGAATCATTTCCTCTATATTACCCTTATAAATGCAGTGTTGGATGCTCTACCCACCTACATGATGTCCATCTTCCCAGTTCCAGATGGTATCATACAGAGGTTGGACAAGGTTAGGAGAGATTTTCTCTGGAAAGGGAATAAAGAAAACTAATTCAACAATCCTTCATCTGGTCAAATGGAACAAAGTGCTTTGGGTTTTGGAGTAAGGCTCTCAAATTGAAATGGTTTTGGAATTTGGAGATATTCACAAGAACCTCAAGCATATTGGAGTAAGGTTATTAAAAATCAAATATGGTGAAGAGGATAGGTGGATGATAAAGGAAGTCAATAACCCATATGGGGTTACTCTGGCCTTTCATGAAGAAGCATGCCAATGTTAAAGTTGGAAATGAGCTCAAGATTTCTTTTTGGAAGGACAATTGGTTGAGATCATATAGCTTAAAGCGTTTGTTCCCTAACTTAGCTCTAATGGCAGTACAACCGGAGGTGAGTGTAACTTACACATGGACACAACAAGGTTGGAACATTCATTTCAGGAGGAACTTCAATGACTGGGAAATTGATTCAGTCATGGAGTTCTTCTGAATGTTGGAGGAATTTAAAGGTACTAGTGAAGAAAAAGACAGACTTTGGTGGAAATCGGATAGCAAAGGTAGTTTCAAGGTGAACTCTGCATACAAGTTTTTGAACCAAGGGAATCTACAAAGACAACATTGGCCATGGAAGCATATATGGAAGATCAAAATCCCCTTCAAAGTTGTCTGTTTTACTTGGTTATTGGCAAGAGAGGCTGTTTTGACACAAGAGAACCTCAAGAAGAGGAAATTCTCCTAGTGTTCCAGATATTACCTTTGTGGTGAACAGGTTGAGACAGTTAGCCATCTGTTTATACAGTGCTTGACATCTACTCAGTTGTGAGAGAATCTTTGTTAGCCTTAGGGTATTAGTTGAGTCATGCCTAACAAAGTAACTCATTTGCTATATAGTTGGGAGGAAGCAAGAGTAGGAGTTGTTGACAAAGACAGATGGAGGATTGTCCTAGCTTGTATCTGGTGGACAATATGGAAGGAAATGATTCAAGATGTTTTGAGAGCAAAAATTGTTATCTACAGATGATCAAACTAAACTGCATTACAGACTTTTTGTTTTTGGTGTAAAAAAATATACTTAAGAGGACATTGACTCAATTATAGACATCCTAGGATCTTGTTAGAATTAGATTCAGTTAGATGTCTTTTTAATTTTGCTGTAAATATGATTTCAGTGCAACCCACGTACTGACTTGTCAATAAACAAAACTCTTACCTTCTCAAAAAAAAATATACAAGGAACGGTTTCTTTCCATATTAATAATTCCTCTCTTAACAATATTTTTAGCAAAATTTGCATGAAAACTGAGGGATATGAAGATCTTTCGAGATAAGTTCCTTCAATGGATTAAGAACTCTAATCATTTGGACATATAACAAAATAATAAGAAGATAGGATGATGGGGATGATGTTTTTATGACAGACCTTTCCAGCCACCTTAAAACAGGCACATAGAATGACAATTCTGACCCCATAAAGGCAGTGAGCTTTAGGAATGAAGATTCTATTGTGTAGGAGAAAGACCACGACAGTTTGTGGGAAGGGGGGATATACAACACAATGATTGCTTACCATCAACTCACAAATTCAAGTATTTAGTACAGTATCACAGTTTTTAATGAGAAAACGTGGCATTTCACAAAGTTCAGCCAGTCATCTATAAAAGTTAGATTATCATGAATGCCCAGAAAATACACAAATAAGTAAATCAACCACCAATATAAAGCTTTAGGAAGATAAATTTGAAGTTGCATTTATTATGAAGATATATATCAAGGAACACATTGTCAAGCTGTTGCATCATTTTCCTCAGTGAAATAAAGTCGCAATAATGGGTTTGAGCCATCTCAACTGCCCTTTATATCTTCTCGGCTATATTATCTCGGATCAAGCTAAAAGTTAATAGTAAAGACTAGTCCAAATTTTCAAGAGTCACAAAATCATTTCACATTAACATGAAAGCCCTAGCAAATGTGGAAGGAAGAATTAAAAAAGCCATCCCAAGAGCATAATATCAAGACATAGCTACTTGCCTGACGGTGCTGCCGGTGGATCATCAACTAAATTAGTTGCGGGAATGGGAATATCCTCCAGTCCACCAGAAATGTCCTCACATACCAACCTATATACAGAAAAAGTAAGAGTTTGCCCTATTTAAATTCAATTCAGATAATTAATCAGCTTTATTCTATTTACCCTCGTATTTCAGAAATGGAGTTGGGAGTACAGCCTCGAGTAAAATGTACCTGCATATGACAGAAGCAAATCAATATAAAAAGTTATAATTTGATCAGTTGAAGGCAAGTAAGTGGCTGAAGGTACAACAAAAACAACATAATTAATGAAATCCCACAAGTGAGTCTACAAAAGGTAGAGTGTACACCTTACCCCTACCTCGTACAGGTAGAGAGGCTAATTATGGAACACCCTCAGATCACCCTCAATGATTATTCAGTCAACCTCTATCTCTCCTTAAGTCAACCACTGTCAGTCTCTCACACCTCTTTGTCCATCGACCTCGCTTGCTACATCAAGTTCACTACATAGGTCACTCCACTTTATCTACAATATCTTTATTCTTAATCTTATCTTTCATAGAATGGCCCACAAATCCTCGTCAACATCCTCATTTCCACTCTCTTCTTTACTTGAAAGTTCTTAATTGGTCAACACTTCGTCCCATACAATGTAGTCAGCTTAGCCACCACAATGTAGAAGTTAACTTTAAGATTGTAGTATATTCTTGTCGCACGGAATTCCAAAAGCAACGAACCTCCATTTCATCCACCACATTCCTCTATGTTATGTGACATCAACATTTTTTCATTTCCTTAAATCTACCAGGATACATGAAACCTCCTCTCTTAGGATGGTTTCTGTATTTCACACCAACCTCATTTATTGCATCATTAAATTTGCACTCCAAGTAGTGAGCTTTGGTCCTACTCAAACTGAGCCTTTAAAGACTCCAAGGTTTGTCTTCAAACATACAGCCCTTTAACTTTGTTGCGAGTCTCATCAATTAATTCTATGTCAAGTGACTATGAGTGCACAGAAAAATAAAATAAAGCATCATTTAGTTGCAAGAATTTAGAGCGCTAAGGCAATTGCACAAAGGGAGAAGTATACTAAAAATGAACTGAGTAGAGCTTAACAAAGTGAGGAGATGAGTACATTACCACAATATGTAGTGCTACATTAGCACTTAGCTCAAATAGAAGGCAAATGCTAGTAAAGTATCATGGAGAAAATTTATATACAGTGGCGAGCGTATTTGTTGATACTAGGATAATAAATGCTATAAGAGATATAGGGTGTTGTTGACATGTGTGTTATGTATTCCTTCATGTGGCGTGACTAATTTGAGTATTTTTCCAAGCTAGTACAATGTTATATGCATCAATTGTTCAGTTGTGTTCATTTGGAACATGTATTAAACTTGGATAGTTAAGATTACTATATTTGTGCATATCTTTATAGGTTGTAATCATTCATACTTATTTGTGTTTTTTCTACACTTCATTATTGTTGCTTTCAAAGATATAATTACACAAGTTAACAATAAGTAATTTTCAATAATGCTTTATCGTTACATCGTGACAAACGATCTAAGTACGCATTGATTTTATACATATGCTACAGTGACTACACCGATGTGTGCAATATGACTTTGAGTTGTTGCATAGTTCATCAAAGAGTTTTAAAGACCAGTATTGTTGTCATTTAGTTCATCTTAGTTCATTTGGTTTGTTTCTCCAAAATTGCCAAAATAAGTGTGCCCAAGACTTTGAAAAAATCAACTAGGACAAAATATATTCTTTTTCCTCCTAATTTTAAAGAAATAATTGGTTTGCTGCCTACAATGAATTCAAAAACTATGTGAAAGCTTCAAATTTGGAAGGCATTGTACCTTTAGAAGTGACAGATAGGTAACGTAAAACAAGTGGACAACCTAGAGAAGAAAGACCGACAAGAACAAAAAGTTTAACTTTCCATATAACAAACTCAAGAAACCATCATCCCAAAAATGACGAGACTGACTAGCTACACCCCTTTTGGGCAATGAAAAAAACCTTACACACTAAACCATGGTTCTTTACAATTAACCTATTTAATCCACCAAAAGTTCTAAATCCCCCGCCATATCCTTTTTACACAAAAAATAGAATAAGCTAAGGCCATTCATCTTGATTTTCAAGATGTTGTCACTATTGTCTTCAAACCATGACAAATTCCTTTCCTTCCATAAAGTCCATCAAATGCATGCAATATTAGTTCCCACCAGTCCTACTCTTTTCCTCATTTCCCAATCTCCTTCCAGCAAAGAAGAAACCCTTAAGTGGTCTTTGGCATAACCCAAAATGCATAAGAACATGTTCCACGGATTCACAGATGTTTTGCACTGTAGAAACATATGTCCATTGACCTCAACCTCTTGATCACATATAAAGCACCTTGAGCAAATTTGTGGAAGAACTTAGATAATACAATCCATCAATTTCTTGTCAACAAATTGATCTTCCATCTTCTGACTACTTTTCTTATTCCTTTTGACGCACGTGGAAGAACTTAGATAATACAATCCATCAATTTCTTCTTAAAAGATGTTCTTCTGATTGCTTTCCTACTCCTTTTTGTCCATTCTTACCAATCCCTTGTCGTTCCTACGATTCTCTAGATGTTGAAGGACTTAAAACCTAACGCGGAGTAAATAAAGTCTTCCGTAATGACGAAAAGAAGGTTTTGAGGGAGAAACAAAGTAGATGTTTCTGGTGATAAAAAAGACCACCGGAGTGAAAAAGAAGTTATTTTGGAAAGGTTTAAGTCATGCCTCGACAATCATGCCTAAGGGCATTTTCACAAGTAGGGTATTTATGTTATTCATTGTTTTGTAGTCTCCCAATCTGAGTGCAAAGAAGACACTTAGTATTCGGGCAAAGGAACAAAAATTTAAATTAAAACATAAAATACCACTGAAAAAGAAGTCAAGTTAAAAAGGAAAGAGACCTGGTTGGTGGTCAACACAGGTTGTCCTTCAATACGCTTTAATCGAAACTTATAGACAGTGAATCCAGAAATACCCTTCTCCGCCCAGTAATTTACAACCTGCAAAAGAAAACAAAACTACTGTAATGCAAGACTGCATCAATGCTTTAACATTTGCACAGCACCCAAAATCAACACCACCACAATTTAAAGAAAGTAAGAAAATTAACTTGCACAAACAACGGAAGGTTGAAAAGTGACATCACTAATAATTCTTTTACATCTTTTCATCACTTCTCCTTTTCAAATTGATGGCCATATAGCCCATTTAGAGAAATATCTGAGATATTGGTCAGGACTACACAATCAAACATGTTATAGTCAGAATCCACAACTGACCTGACTAAGTGACTCAATATCGTGAGATTAAGCGTATTAACCACAGAAATTCCTAAATCAACCTACATAGCCAACACCAACACATCCTTATGTTGACTGAATGTTGCTTCCATTTTCTTTTCTATCTTTGGTTCCTGCTAGCAACAGCAGTTGAAGTACATATTATTATTATCTCTTAAATGACCCATTTAAGCCAGCCGAATAAGATGGGAAGCTGAATGACTAACTGCATATCAACAGATACAAATATGACTCAACTTCAACAAACACAGTTGACATTTACATATTTCATAAGGAATTTATTTTGGGATTGAAAGATGAAGAAAAACATATTGATTACCTTATACAAGCCATCATAAGTATAAACCTTTCCAACGTAACTATTCACACACCGATGTCCACGTGTAACCCTTACAGGTACAGATTGCTCCATACAGTTCTGCAAACAGAGAGCAGGTAATGTAATTCAACTATTAGTTGTGAAGGTTTTTCAGCAGAAAGAAATATAGAGAAGTGCAAAGAAAATACCAATCAAGTCCTAAAAAGTAGGGGGTGGCATAAAAAAAGACAAACGGAGCTAAATAAGTGGGTGTTTGGCCATGAAAACCAAAAAAATCACATTATTTGGAATTTTTGAAGTTGAAGATATGTTTGGCCATACTCTTTGCAAAGAATATTTAGAATTTGAAATTACTTTCTCTAAATATGATTTATACCCCCAATCATATCATATATCATATCACGTATATATAATATAAGAGAACCCTAGGCCCACATATGTGGTGCTACCACAAACCAAGATTCTCATTTAATTTATTTAAGTTTGCAACTTTTATAAAAAGTTATGAATTTTTTGAAAGGTTGTGACTTTTACAAAGGATTGCAACTTTTCCAAATAGTTGTAACATTTCCGATAAGGCACAATAAACATTTGGTCAAACTACCTTTGTTGTCTATGCATATAAGATTTCCTCACATTTTAAAAAACAAAATTCTAAATCTTTTCTTCTTTATCTACACAATTAAATATTTGTGTACTTTCCTCCAGTTGAGGACCACTAACACCATTGCTTATGTTACAGATCTTGCATTTTTAAACACATTAATTTATGCTTATGTAAGCTATAATAATTTTCATTTTCCTTTACATTATTAATGTTCGTTACTACAAATGTAAGATAATATAGTGTTTTAGCTTTAATGACGGATAGATTTTAAGTATTATTTTATAATATTTGTCATATTAAATTCCTGCGCAAAACGCAAGTATTTTTACTAGTTTTATATAAAGTAGAAAAATCACTCAACTTGACTAATTCACCAAAAACATAAAATTAAATTTGCTCTAAGATTAAATTCTCATATACAAGCTATTACATAATATTGTAAATATGTTCACTTTATTTGAAATTTTTGAAGTTGGAGTAGTATTTGGTTATAATTTTTGCAAATAATATTTGTAAGTTTGAGTGTACTTTTCCTATGAAAATATGATATATGATTTAAATATGAATTATAATTTAAATGGGGTTATTATTATAAAAGTAAACAATTTAGGCTACAATTTGACAGAAAAATACAGTAAAATTGAGAAAAGTGTAATCAAGGTTTTGTGTGTTCTCCAAATATTTTTCATGAACATATGCTGTTTTTTTAATAAAGTGAAATAATTTTCCGGAATAAGTGAAAAATTATCATAGCCAACACAATATCAGTTTTGATTTTGAAAAGTTCGGTCTTTGGTACAGTTTTTGGTTATGAAGACTTGATACATTGGAATATCAGTTCAATTGAAATACCGAACTATTATAACTACTGTTGCTGTATATTAAGTTTTATAGTCCAAAAGGGCTTTAGTTGTTGTATATTAGTTAAGATGCTAATTTCTGTAGCTCTCTTATTCAAAAAGTTGTTGCATATTAAAAGTTAAGCCATCTTTTAGATAGAAAATACACCAGTTTTTTAAGCAGAAAAATAGTCCAATATACCAAGATCGTACTGAAGAACTGATTCCATACCGAACAATATAAACCAAACCTAACTAACTTTGGATTCGTATTTGATATATACCATTGAAAAAACGAAAACTGAAGTACTGAATGCCCAACCCTACTAAAGATCTGTAACTTTATCCGCAAAACACCACAGCAGGAACACTATGGACAGATAGAAAAATAAGTGATACTATATAAATCACTTCAACAAAGCGCCAATTTGACCAATTGATCATTATCATATTTTAATCACACCTGGAAGTCAATATTTTTGACAACTCAAGGTGGAAAGGAAAAACCAACTTGAGTTGCTTATCAAAAAATATCAGAGCAAGATCACCAAAATATAGGTGGAAAGTTGCTGCTGAGAAAACATGTCCAAGCTTTGTATTTTATCTTTGGCTTATTTGTTATCCTTGACATTAATTCAAAAACAATATAATTCCCTAATTCAAATTTATGTTTTCTTTCACAGTGAATAACCCAACGAAAAATCTCATCAAATACATAATTTAGAATTGATCATCTTTCTCATGGCTAATTTAGGTAAATATCACTTTTCCACTCATCCCCACTATTCTTCGTTGTTAGACAAACAAATTGAAAGCAAAGGAAATGCATTAATCTTGTTCGACAAACAAAAAGGTAGAAGCACATCAAGCGGCTGAAAATTGACCTATTAAAAGAAAGTTAGACTAATAGATTTTATAACAAAACTGTATGTCTATCCTATTTCCCCAACTAAACACATGCAAGGACTCACACAGTATAGAAGACTCAGTGCACCTGAGAACGACATGCCCCTTTCTCTACAAGTCTCCCTTTGTCCCATGGGCTCACAAGATTTTTGTGCTTGAGAAAGCACAAAGAAGAGAAGATAAAATAAGTCTTTCTTTTAATGCTCATCAACAAGAGTTACTGCCTTTTCCGCGGTTTTAAAGAACAGGTATTTGTCATATAGCACGGATTAAGATGTTAAATCTGACTTGGATAAACATAGTAGCGGAAGAAAACATTGAAGTAATGATTGTTAGCAAAATCAGTTAGATATAGAAACAACACATCTAGGTTTATAATTTGGGTAGTATTATGTATTTGCATTCTTGGGAGTTGTGAAATTTCTATAAAAATGGTACTGTATCAAACATTTGGAGAATCCCACATGAAAATAGAGTCTCATAAACTGGGACAAAGGGAGTGTTAGCTAACCTATCACACATTAAAAACAGAAAATAATATATTCAATTCAGAATAGAGGTTTTAACAAAAATAGAAATAAAAAGTAGTTGCAAAGAAAGAAGAGAAAAGCAAACCTTAAGTCCTAAATTACCCCGTTCCATGACTTGATCCTTTATTTGGCGCTTGTTACCAAGCAGATCATTTCCACCTTGACCAGTATAGACCACTTCTTCATAGTTGTCCTGGTCGTCTTCATACTGTCCCGATACGACAATTGAAACCGCAAGGGGCAAACTGTAGCCTTTGTACTCCTAATGATGTGAGGGGATCATATATATTAAGTTAACAAAACTAAAAGGCAAGAAAGAAAAATGTAGAAGACATTCGGGAAAATATAGTGTAATAGGGTAGAGAAGACATGTATAAGCCTCCAGACAAAAGAACTGCCTTCAGCAGCAAATGACTGTACATTAAAAACAAAAGCAATACCCATAGATACTTCACACGTGAGGGTCAATAAGAGTTCAGGATCATTTTATTATCATCAAATATGGACAATGAACTGAATTTCATGTAATAACTTATGTCGCAAGCAATCAAAAATAACTCAATGCACCAAAAGAAAACCTTTCACATCAAAGGGCTATACGAGTAAAAAGTTAATGACTTCAATTTATCATTTTTCCACAGTTGATTCTCGGTGAAACGTAAGAACCATATCTGTAGGGAATAGTTCAATACACTTCACTATGACTGTTCAAAGTAAAGACTAGGAAAATGAACAGCAAAATGACTAATGAAAAGATTAAGATTTCTAGATGTCTTTACTGTAACAATAAACTAGGCCGTGATGGAATGCGCCCATGAAGGATCAATGTATAATATGCATCCTTCATGATACAACGTATTTTTTTCTTTGAGGCACAAGTAACATCCTTTGAAAAATGTTTGTTTCTAGATAATGCCCATACATGTCAAAAGTAAAAATGGTATGCTCTTGATATTTGAAGGAAATGAGTTTAGAAAAATAACAAGCAAAACATCATTCACTATTCTAGGTTGAGCAAGGAAGAATTAGTAATTCAAGATTGAAATTCTTTTAGCTAGTCAACTGTTACTCAAATTCAAATGCCAACGATATACCCCTTTTTTCCCTGCAGATTGGCCAACACAATCTATGCCGTTTAGCCAATGGTTATGGAATCCCGCAACGACCATCTCAGCACGCGAAAAGAACTGATGACCAACATCAATGCCTGCCACAAGAAACTCAAAACTAAAACTCTCAAACAGATACAGCCACCCAAAACATATTTTAACTGCAGAACATACCATTAAACCATATAGATTGACTGGATTTTCAAATGTAAAGGACAAGAACAAATGATAATGTCGTACAGGCTTACTAGAAGTTAATTGACGCATAAGTTAAAGATCTAATCTCATGTGTTCTATTAGAAACTAGTTGGTCCACCATCATCAATGTTTTCATCGTCTAGAGCCAAAATATGCCGTATACATTTGGTCAGAATGCAAACAGTTATTTTGTTTAAAAATCAATTAGTTAATCAGTTTCCATTGCATTTCATGTGAAAGAAGAAGGCTACATGCTGCATAAAAGTAACTTAAAATCACATTACCAAACTAAGAAATTCCCTCTTCGTATTCACTGGACAGGTTTGACTCAAACGCAAGAAATTATAATTGTTTAATACTTCTAGAGATAACATGTAGGAACCATGAAATCTGAGAGAGAGATGGAGAGAACTTTTTTTTAATTTTCCTTTTGATAAGGTAAATTTCATGACTTCAAACACTTAAACCAAGAGCGCAATATAGTAGTAAATAAAGATACATGTGTAATCAAAATACATAGAAGTGACAGTGACATATTTACTAAGTCAACATCTATCTTGACTTTCAACAATCTCCCTTAAAACTCAAGTTGTTCAATTCGAGGTAACAAAGTAGTTTGAGTTATCAAATAAAAAATAAAATCAGTTTATTGCAAAAAGGTTAACAGATTGACACATGATGGCTTTAGATAAAAAAATATATAGTGTGGTTGCTGTCGGAACAGTGACATGTCAGTGGAAATTTGTGCAGCACTGGCAAATTACTAATTTGAACAGTGGGTGTGTAGCTGAACAGTAACATGATGCTAAATCGAAAGTAGAGTGATGTTGTATACAACTAATACCAACTAGTTAATGGATAATGTGTCATTAAACAGTCAAACGCACTGACATGACACTAACTGACCATAGCATGTGTTTGCCGAACAACGGCTGTTTACTGACCAGAAAGACTAAAAAAGTGTTCAAACAAGATGAAAAACAGGGTTGCATCCCTGAAAGTTGAAAAGGGGAAAGAGGCATTATCACCATGATAATCACTGAAAATAAACAAAGTTACATCGGCTTACAGGCTTAGGTACCGAGAGAAAAACAAAGTTGCCATTAGAATAATTGCAAAATAATATTATTGATGATCCAATTCAAAAACACAATAAAGATGCAGCAGAAATAATCACCAAAAAACAAAGACTTGGGAAAACTATGAGAAGAAGAACAAATATTAAGCAAAAGGGCAATCATTGTTAGACAAAGCTACGTAAGTCTCAACTGATATCATAGAAGCCTTATACTACATGTGAAAATGCAAGTGAGAGAATGAGAAACAGAGAGAACTAATTATCTTCTTTAGGTTGCATTGATAAGAGTACAAAAGGTGCACATATCTTTTCCATACGGGGTAAATGTATCTAAACCTTTTCCAAGAATAAGGTCAGCAAATTGAAAGTCCAATCCACTTAGCTTATAGAAGCAAGAAGTAGTTTTCCTAAGAAAGCAAATGGACGTCGATATAATTCACAGTCATACACAAATACCCATCTTTTGATAAATCAATCATATCACGAGACACATAGCAAGAGTAGACAATCAACCTGGAAGGGAGCCAATTCTCTCACGATTCAAAACCTCCTTTTCTGATATCATCTGCAAGTTTTTCTCATTAAGAATCAATAGTACGAAAGTAGACTTACTCCAAAAGACTCAAATTTTGACAAACATGTAAAGCAAATAGAATACAAGTTCTTGCACAGTAATTAAATCACTTCGGTACTACTAACAAACAAAAGATTGGTAACACTATAGAAGCTGTACCAATGCTTCCATAGACTCAATCGTGGTTTACAATTATAGCATTTATACATGCTTTGCCCTTTTTATTTCATTTTTTGAATAAAGTAGTTTCAAGTCATTGATCTTGATAAAAAAGAAACATCCTTTATCCAACTGTTTGTTCCAATTCAAAGTGACAGACAATGTTCAGTTTTACCATTATTCTCATTACTTTTCTACTCTTCCTAGACAAATTTACCCTAAGACCACTACAAACGCATACATGGGTGGTAAATATCTTCATTTCTTTAACAACAATCACAGTCAAACAAATTTAAAGATAGGCTAATAATACCGATCAATTAAAAAGATAGGCTAATATTGTATCTCTTGCATTAGAATATTTTTAAAATTGAACATGAGAGAAATGAGTACTGACTGACGACTGCCGAGATCTATAATACTTATTACTAGTCATGTAGAAAGGCATTAGGTTTCAATATTAAAGAAAAGTTGAATCTAATCCATGCAATTTTGGAGAATCGTGTAGCAGTTGCCAAACTCTCAAGTTTTTCATCATATTAACTTGGCACACAATCAGACTGACATAAAATAAAGAAAAGGAGAACTACGAATAATTAGATTACAAATGGCTGGGAAGACCAAATACTAGAGCATACAAAAGGCTCCATTATGTCACTTAGATTACTGCAGAAGTTCAAGACTCTTGAACAGACTCAATATAAATTTCGAGGCACTTGTTCAAACTTTAGCCACATGAACAGTACACTTTCACACTTCAAAAGTTACATTCAATCGATTTAGTAACCATCAAACTGAACTTTGAAGTTTGAGTGATATATCTACTTGGATTCTTTTCCTAAATAGAAGTCACCCTTTGTATTTGATCTATCATGCTAATAAATCAGGAGGATTGGCAGTCAATCTCATCATCCTATTGTATTTGATCTATCATGCTAATAAATCAGGAGGAGTGGCACTCAATGTCAGGGGATTGATTTGATAACATAATTAAAAGAGACATAGTTTGGCCCTTTCACCATCTACCAGTAGACGCCAATGGTAGTGTAGATTACCAAATTTCCACAGAAAATGTCAAGAGTTATTGATGAATCTCTACAGTATTTTGGTCTAGCTCTAGCACAAAGAACGTGGAGCTGGTAAAAAGCATTCAAGTTGGTATCACATGTTATAGGATGATTAACGCAGCCAATGTGGACTTCTGAAGAAATACATGCCTTGGAAATCGCCTTTAGATCAGGCCGCTTGGAACTGCGTTTACCATCATCTTCGGCTTCCTGCACAAATGTGTTACCAACTTAAATACGTTAAGCAAGTTTTGCATAGCTTACGTGAATCAAATGAGCAATAAAAGGACAAACCACTATGACAGACTTGGGCGTAAGGAGAGAATAAAATGATACTGAAATTGGAAGTTGATATGTTTCATGGTTCTAACAACCAAATGTACTTTTCTAGTTTAACTCATCAAAGGCGAGAGAGGGCTGACCTTAGATTTTGAATGTTTCTTTGTTTTTTGATCTGCTTGGGCTCTTCCACATCTTATCTCCTCTTCCTAACCACGGTCAACAAGAGAGAAAATCATTACTATCATATACACACGTGACAAAGATATGCTTTAAAACTGAACCCTCTCTTGTCTTATGAAATGTCTGCTTGCGGAAATTATCAGGAAAAATGAAATGGGAAATTGAGGAAACCTGAACGAAATGGAGATAATGCTTGTTAAATATCCGCAGAGTCTCTGTCACCCTGGCATGCGAACTTTTTTCAGTCCCGTTCCCGCTAAGCTGGGGATTCAGAGAGTTTTCGGGGACAGGATGATCGGTACAGTCAATTGGCGCACCAACATTGGTTATAGTGACGTCATCGTTATCAACAGTGGCAACTGTGACGTCATTATTAGGAGCTTGAGTTTGAGCTTGTGAGGGAGTAACAAGCTTGCTCTTCTTATAAACCTTGGTTTTCTTCCCAAGAACTGAGTCGTCATTGGAGCGGCACCGTACTCTCTGACTCTCACGCTCACGCTGAGCTTCCTGCTCACTCTTCAATTTTTTTATTCTCGCACTGCAACGCCTCGGGACCATCGCATCATTGACAGGATCGGAAAGCTCGGCAACGCACGGAACCACCATCTTTGAATGTAATAAGAAGCTTAACTTTCTTCTGAATTGTAGGGTTCAAGAACGAGCTGGGGGAGATGAGACGCCAAAATAGGAAAGAGAGAAATGAGAGAGTGAAAGGCGAAATTAGCGAGGCGGGCTTCAAAAATCACCTTCTTCTTTTTTCTCGATATTCGTGAGAAGCTTCATTTTCCCGCCCAACACGACTTTTGTCTCTCTTTTTTTCTTGTGCAAATGCAAATTTGGAAACTCTCTACATTCTAGCTCAAATCATTTTTGAACTTTAAAATATTTTTTCAAAACAAAGTTATAATATTTTTTTTGAGAGGGGAGGGGGGCTTGTAGGAGTGAGTGGGTGGATGGGTGAGGAGGATCGAGGATAAGGGTGAAAAAAAGAATTTTGAAAGTTAAAAATATTATTTTAAAACAAATTTAAATTATTTTTTTGGGATAGGATGGTATGTGGTGTAGGGGTAGAGGGTAGAACTAAAAGAAAGGAAATTTTAAAGTTGAATTTTTTTAAAAAAAGATAAACTTAAATTTTTTTTAGAGGTATGGGGCTGATAAGGGTGGTTTGGGAGGTGAGGGGATCGTCCTTGGGCAAGGGGTGGGTAGAAAAAATTAAAAAATGTTTGTCCTCTATGCCAAACACACCATAAAGCATACATCTTTTCATGTTGAATAGTGAGTGGGTAGGTGGGTGGGGGAGGATCGAGTATAAGGGTGAAAAAAAGAATTTTTTCAAAGTTGAAAATATTATTTAAAAACAAACTTAAATTATTTTTTTTGGGGATAGGGTGGTATGTGGTGTGTAGGGGGGGTCGAGGGTAGGAGTAAAAAAAATAAAATTTTGAAGTTGAATTTTTTTTAAGAAAATAAACTTAATTTTTTTTAGGGGTAAGGGGCTGATAGGGGTGGTTTCGGAGGTGAGGGGATCGTCCTTGGGCAAGGGGTGGGTAGGAAAAATTGAAAAATGTTTGTCCTCCATGCCAAACACACCATAGAGCATACATCTTTTCATGTCAAAAACATTGGCTTTTTTTAATAGGTTGTAGTTTTCTAACAATGCACGATAAATATTTGTATGTACTACCTTTTATAATGTTATATGTTATAAATAAAGAGTTTTTCTCATTTTTAAACATAGGTAATTTTAATGTTTAATCCATATGATACATCCAACCAGTGGCGTACGCAAGATTTTTCATAAGCGATGTCAAATTTATAAAAGAATAATAATAATAAATATAATGTTATATTAAAAAACTACGATATTATATTTAAAAATTCTTAAGTTTTTAGCATTTATATATGTCTAATAAATAAATTTACCTATTACCTTTGTACTTATTTTTTGTAATTTGTGCACCTTTTTAGCTTACGTCACATCCAAATATTTCCACGCTCCTCAATTGCGTAGAGTCATGGAGTATGCCACATAAGACAGAAGGTGTATAAAATTAAAAAAAATTAATGGGGTAATAAGACATTAGTTTAGTTAAGGCGTGTCTTCTAGATTTCAATCATAGTTTAGGGTTACTTGTGCATTTTTCATAAACTGACTTAAAGTAGGTTTGACCAACTTTTTAGTCAATCCAAACCCCCACTTAGTGTTGAGATATCCCATATTTTCTTATCCAACCTAAAATTATTTTATCCACCTCTCATGTGATAATACTATAGCCTAAATTTAAGGTATATTTTTGTGTTATTCTAGTGGATAAAAATGTCTTTGTGTTAATTTAAAGATTGACAAGATGTGAGGACGTTAACACAAAAATGTGTCAAATGTGTGTCATTTTTCTCTGAACTTCTCAATTAGTTTTTTCGTGATTTTCTTCCACCTTTCGAAAAAGCAAAGATTTTGCATTCATTTTCTCTTCAACTAAAATCAACCTAAGCTTCTGGAAAGTATAATTCGTCGCTCAAACTTTTTTATATTATTACCAACTTAAAGAATATGATTGTTGAAGAAAACGTGGTATGTGTTGTTGCTTCTCCCAAAATAAGATAGAAGCTCGTTAGATTTTCTTTTCTTTCGATTCAAGTAGTCATTTAATTGGTTAATAACTTAATGTATTTCATTATATACTTTGCATCTTCGTCACAAAATTATGCCTTCTAAAAATTATTGGAAATAGTTGAAATTTGCAAAGTCAATATTAAAATGTCATTTACATATTTGGTAAAAGGTCTAAAAGATTTGCCAATTTTGTTTATTTTCTCATTATAATATAAGATAATTTCAATAATGTACTAATTTTTCAATACATAAAAGAACATTAGGATGATACATAAGTTACAATAAAACGAAAGTAGGATTAAATTAAATTTCATTCATTATTAGATATCTTAGCATTGAGTAATTATAGTGGCATCAAGAGTTAATACCTCAGATGGTCACTCAATTATGCACTTTTCTCTCAGAAAGTCACACAACTTTCAATTTTCACTCAAAAGTCACTCAACTATTGCTTTCTTTCACAGAAAGTCACTCAACTTTGAATTTTAACTCAAAAGTCACTCAACTATTCACTCTTTTCTCAAAAAGTCACTCAACTATCCATTATTTCCTCAAAAAGTCACTCAATCTATTAAAATATTTTTTAATTAAAAATTGTTGATATTAATTATTTATATAACAAACCAAAAAATTTAGTGATCCACCCACCTAACCCGACCCATTAAAAAATATGATATGACCCATTTTATTTTGTCTTTAATCCTAAATTAATCCCTCTCTTTAAACCTTGAATTAGCATTAACGACAAAATAAAATAGATCATATCATATTTTTTAATGGGTCGAGTTAGGTGGGTGGATCACTAAATGGTTTAAATGATATTTTTATTTTTAAAAAATTTTGGTTTGTTATATAAATAATTAATATCAACAAATTTTAATTAAAAAACAATTTAATAGATTGAGTGACTTTTTGAGGAAAGAGTGGATAATTGAGTGACTTTTGAATTAAAATTCAAAGTTGAGTGACTTTCTGAGAAAGAAGTGCATAGTTGAGTGACTTTTGAATTAAAATTCAAAGTTGAGTGACTTTCTGAGAAAGAAGTGCATAGTTGAGTGACTTTTGAGTGAAAATTAAAAGTTGAGTGACTTTCTTAGAGAAAAGTGCATAGTTGAGTGACCATCTGAGGTATTAACTCAAAAATGATAGATTCAGCCATTTGGTGAATTTAAAGGTTTTGCTTTATGAAAGTGAAAGACAGTCAGTAAAAAAGGTTTTCAAATCTTTTAAAGGAAAAATTATGTACTTGGCATGTTCTTATGTTGGTCCATGATTTTGAGACCATGATATTATATAAAGGTGATTTTTTTTAATTTAAACAATTGTTTTGGGTGGTGGGTATTTAAAATTTTTGGAATACATTGTTTAGATTATTTACAAATTCTTTCACTTTTCATTGCCTTTTTAGACCATTACTCTCGCCGGAGCATTTTTTGACGAGCTACCACCCCCAAACCCAGTGTTGTTCATTACTAAAACCCCCAAATTTGACATCTTGTTTTCCTCCATAGTTGCACCTACCCACAACTTTGGTGAGCTACAACAAAATTTGAACTTGCAATCAACCATCACTAAAAGACCTCTCCTCTATTTTCAAAATCCTAATTCACACCAAAAACAAAGTCATAACCATTGTTGCCTCCTTCCTCATTGCTCGAGTTTCTCTATTAATGGTGAACTCTAAACTCACTTGCAAGCTCCAGGTTTTTACTCGTCGCGAATTACAATCAGATCCAGAAAAATCCCAAACCAGATTTCCATAGAAAAAACAACTAGAATTGGGTAATTGACGATTTTTAAGAAGTTTTTGGTTAGATTGATTTAAGTAGGCGTTTGATCATGTGATACCGTATCACAATATGAAATCGTGAGATGAGATCAACGTTTCGACATACGATTTTGCGCTGATTTCATTTCATGATTTCATATCATGAGATGTGATTTCATATTCTCCAAAAATCATGATATGAGAATTTCATATCGTGATTTGAGATATTTTTAATGCAAAAATTGATCCATAAGAATATATTTTATTAAAACAACCCCACATTTATATCTACATAACCATTTATATACATAAAATTTATAATTACGTCATTAATTTTTAAAAATTTATTATTTTGACTGACAAAAAATTTATTATCCTCATCAACAATATAGTCATTTTAACTCACATCAACCAATTGTTGAGTAATAAATTTGTTCTCTTCATTTACTCTAAAACCTAGTTTATTACTTCTACCGTTTTGTATCTATCACAACTTAAAGTAACAATTTAGTTCGTCTTCTCGGTCACATGATTGAGAAATGCAAGCTCAACGTGAGGGAATTGTCCATACTATATGGAAGGATTTTATTAAAGACCAGTACAGTATAATTAATGTTTAATTTATTTTTATTAAATTAAAGTTAGATGAAACAATTACTTAAGTGGAAAACAAATAACTTTGTTTATTATGCGATTTTATAATTTTTTGTTTATTTGGTAAGATTGAATAATCAATTGGGGCTATTTTAGTAGTTTACAACTTTGAGATTCTTATGTTTATGAAAAAATACACAACACAAAAAATTCATATCACATGTCCAAATAAAACTTCAATTTCATCTCATAATTTCATATTATGATATCATGATATGATATCATATTGCATGACCAAACGGGCCCTAAGTGTTAGTGAGTTATGTAGGTGGATTAATGGAATATGGGTGGATTTTAAAGTTTTTTACTTAATTAATTGGTCAAACTTGTTCCTTTGTAAGATTGTGTCTCATATCCTTGTTTGTTCTTCCGTTAGAACGAAGGACATTATATTTTAATTTTTAAACGATAGGGACATTAATATTTTAAAAATATGACAGAGGATATCTCTATGTCATTTTCAATAGTTCGAGGTATATTTATCCCATTTCCTTAATAAAGGCACATGAAAGTGTGTGGCCCAATGAGAGTTATTTATTGAAACATTACACGAGTTATAATTAATTAACAACAATAACTTAATTGTTATTAGATGTATTTTTACAAGTAACTAACATACTGTAAATGTTTCAAAAGTCTATTACAATTAACTAATTTCATAAAGACTTTAGTACTTTATATTAATATACATATATATCATCGTTAAAAGTTGTTCTTTTAAATAAAAAGGAATTGTGCTAAAATAGAGTGCTAGCCTGTGCTTGCACAAGCTAATTCGCATCTATTATAAACATGTACCTTAGGTTCATATT